GGGGGACACCGCGGGGACGGGGGACACCGCGGGGACGGGGGACACCACTCCCACGGGGAGAGGGCAGGTGGGGGTTCTGGCTGCCGGGGGTGCCCGGGCAGCTCTGCCCGCCCTGGGCTCCCCTCCAGGGCATCCCCGCTGGGACCCTGCGGCAGACGCTTACTCTGCGGCGATTTTTACAGGTTTTTTTCTTTTTGTAGGACAACCAGACTTTGGGTCGCCGCGTGCGTTGGTGAGTTTTGATCTGGAATTGATTCTGGAAGCGCAGGGCGAATGAAGGGTGGGGTGGGAGACCAGAAAACGCGGCGTGCCTGGGGGGCATGCGTGGTGGGCGGGTGCGTGCACACTCCTTAGGGCATCGCTTCTGGGTGTCATTGCAACCCCGTGTCGGTGCTGGCTCCCTGCCCGCTGGGGGCTGTGGCTTCTCGATGTCCCCGATGTCTGCGGAGGGCGAGGTGCCGTGCTGGTACCTGCAGTTCGCCTCCGCACCAACACTGAGATCCAGAGATCGTGTTCGGGGAAGGGGGCGACCTCTTACACGCCTTAGGAAAATCTCGTGCATGCTTCGTGAGTGAGATGAAAAGCTGGGGTTGTTTGTACGTTAAAAACGCTTTGAGCATCTGATTTTCCTCTTTGTTATTCTTGATTTCTCCCCCATGTTATTCTGTTGTAGATCAGTTAAAATTACCTCTCTGTAAACTGAGAAGGAATGTGAAGGACCTGGGCTGAGCTTTAGATTGGCATTTTCTGCTCGTTTTTGCTCATGCTGCAAATTCTTCCCTAGGCGTGTCCTTGGCGGCATGGAGTCTCGCTGCCAGCTCTGGCCACGGGCGTTATTCCTTCTCCTGGGTAAGGCTCCCCATGCAGCGTGCCTGTGAGGATACAGGGGGGGTGACTAAATACAAAGCTTATGTTAGCAGCGGTTCTATCGGTAGCAGCAGCTGGGGCACCGGTGTCTGACGGTAGCGCTGGCGTTGGGCGGGGGGCTGCGCTCTGTCCCGTGGGGCTTGGCTGTGTAGGTAAACGGGGGACACCGAAGGGGGCTGTTGAGTATGATGGGCAGGAACCGAGCATCCCTGCAGCCCACACACCGGGGGCACGGCAAAGAAGAGTTTCAGAAATACCTGTTAGTACAAAGCACTTTAAAAGCGCCTTTTTCTTATTAAAAATGAAGGCATTTCAGGGGCAAAACACCTTTATCCTTTTTGGCGCATGTGTTCTGTAGGTTTGTCCCAAGCATGACGGTCATTGGTCTGTCGTAGGGACCAGCAGACGTGCTGGTTGATGGCTGCGTGCCACCCTGACATGACCCCAAGTCCTGTTTTCTGCTTTTCCAGCTTGTGCGCGGCTGCTGGGCGCGGAGCGAGCCTGCTCCCAGGGAGCCTGCTACCCCCCTGCCGCAGACCTGCTGCTGGGACGAGCCCATCACCTGAGAGCATCCTCCACGTGTGGCCTCACCAAGCCCGAGACCTACTGCACGCCCCACGGAGAGGTACGTCCACCCGCCGCGCTCCTCAGCCTCACGTAGGGATGCTGACGCCTTTACCTGTCCCATCCTTCCTACCCTTTTGCAGGGTTGTGTGCTGCTCCCCCCCTGCCGCAGACCTGCTGCTGGGACGAGCCCATCACCTGAGAGCATCCTCCACGTGTGGCCTCACCAAGCCCGAGACCTACTGCACGCCCCACGGAGAGGTACGTCCACCCGCCGCGCTCCTCAGCCTCACGTAGGGATGCTGACGCCTTTACCTGTCCCATCCTTCCTACCCTTTTGCAGGGTTGTGTTCAACCTATTTCAGGTACTTATCCCCCTTCCAACCATGCCGGGTAATGGCACCATCGTGGCGTCCCCCCCCGCACTTCGCTACCCTCCCCATGGTTGAGAAGAGGAGCTGAGCACGAATGTGGTGGCAGGGAAAGGGCAGCAAAGCTCCGGCGTGAAGCACCGGAGGCAAAGCGGAAGCTTTTGCATCCAAAATATCCCAAGCCTTCCTATCCTTGGACTTTTTAGTTATAAACTAAGCTCATATTCCACTTGTCAATAGCGGGAGCGTTTCAGGTCTTTCACAAAGCCTTGGAAAAGCTTCTGAACCGAACAACTGTTTCCAATTATGCTGGTTGTGCGGGGGCAGGAGAGCGTGCTCCGGGGATAGCGCTGCAGCCAGCTGCGCGTTCCCAGGCTCCAAAGCTGCCACCAAATTACAGTAAGGGTTTGGGGAGAAGTCTGCCGGAGCGCAGAGCTGGAAACCTCAGGGGTGATGTCCCTGGTGTCGGTCTGGCAATGTTAACCCCATAACTGCTGCGGGAGGGGCTCACAAGGGAGTGGGTTCAATGCAGGACAGGCAGAAAGGGTCTTGGAAGAGATGCTCGGGAGGAGAGGAAACGGCAGACCTCCGGCGAGGCAGTGTTTTTGACAGTGAAATCCAGCGCGAGTGAGTCAGCATTCTTCTGGCTTTAATTCCCCTTCAAGCTGAAGGCCAAGACGTGGCCGTAACTGCGTGTGTTGGATGGAGCCGGTGCCCTCGCAGGGCTGGAGGGGTGGTCGCTCCTCTGCGGCTCGGGGCTGGCTCGAGCTGTTGGGTGGTGTGAGGCTGGGGCAGCTCCCTGGCCCGGGCGGGTGCGAGCATCGCGTCCTCCTGGATGCTGGCCTGGCTGCAGCATCTGTCCCGTGTCAGGTTGTTTCCAGGCTGACCGTTGCGGTCAAGCATTTCCTTCGGTCAGGCTCCCACTCGCTTTTCTCGGAGCTGTTTTGCTGCTCCCAGCCAGCGGGGCTGTTTGCTCGCCTCCCCAGCAAACCCCCCCTGCTTCTCAAGGGTGCTGTGGCCCAGGGAGAGGGGAAAAAAGCACGCAATTATTTCTGCTCTGGCTTAAGTTTTTTGTTCTTCTCCATTTCTGTTGATACCTGAGGAGAATTGTACGTAAATGTACTTCTGAAATCTTGACTTGATGTTGACTTTTGACATTGACTTTTGCTTGAAGAGGGGGCTTGTGCTATGAGTAGGGAGCATCTGCAAAACCTTGACTGAGCCGGTTGTCCCGATACCAGCGGGAGTGGGCTCGTTATTCCCTTTGCCTGACCTTGAGAGCTGTGATCAGTTGTGATCAGCTGCATCGCTTCCAATCTTTGGAGGCTGGGGGTCTCTGATGGCTGTGATGTACCTTGCGCAGAGGTGATCCGTTCGGCGCAGCACTGGGGAGTGAGGTCTCGTGGCGGCTGCTGCGGAGGAAGGCAGAGAGCAAGGCTGCAGCAGTCTCTTCTACTCTTCAAGTCCCTAAACTGTTCCATTTTCATATTCTTTATACCTTGCCTTACAAGTACCAGGGTTAAGGGGGATATGGAACCATTAACTGATATGTTAGGTTGGATTCTCCAATTCTAGCCTTGGGAATGGGGTCTTTGCTTCCTTACTGCCTACATGTGCGTGATCCTTTGCTGAAACAAGAGATGCATCGTTACTGCTAGCAAATTCCTAAAAGGCCCTTATTTCTGTGCTGTAGCTAAAGGGAGTTATGAATATACCAGCTCCTGTCTTTGCAGGAGAAATCCCTACACCATGAGCGTTTCCTAATTTTTTCCTCCCTTTTTCTACTTCCCTAATTCAAGCAAAAATCAATCCCCTGAACTCAATTTTCCTATTCCCATCCTATAAAAAGTAAGCACATTTAATTTATCGACTCTTACGACTTTTTTTTTTTTTTTTTTGTTACAAGTCTTGCTCTTGTTTTGTTGCCAAATAGGTACAAATTTGGAGTCTGTTTTGCAATCTCAGCAGAGGGCATGGGATGAGGGGTTGCTCGCTGGCTGCGGTGCCCCGGTGCCAGCTGGCGGGCACACGCTGTCTGGCCCCGCTGCCAGCCCACGCTGGCCCCAGGGTCCTCTTGTGCAATTCGGGTGGGTGACTCGCTGCGGGCATCGATTTTCAGCCTCTGCTCCATTGTCTGCTCCGTCTCCAAATCCCTCTAACCTTTATACTTTGCACTACTGATTGCTCCATTCCTTGGCCGTAGGCTCAGCCTAGCGAAATCCAAGAGGGACGCTCGGCATTGCCATTTATAGCGCAGGGGACGGCAGCGGTGATTAGAAAAGCGATGGGGGGTGGAAACCGGGCAGACCAATGGTCTGGCTTGGAAATCGCTTATTGCTTGGGAAATGGCTGCTCAAGTCAGCAGGGAAGTAAAAGCAAGAGGGGAAACTGAAAATAAAGTAGAAAAATAAGTGAGCCTGGATTTGGAGTCGTTAAAGGCGCTGATGTGTGTGGAAAGACTCCGGTTGGCAGGGGGGTGATGCAGGGCCCGCTCAACCCATCTCCTTATTTCAAGGCTAAGGATAGCGCTTGGATAGGAATATGGAGGAGGTGACGCTGCCTCGCTGTAGCCGAGGGAAGGCCCGGTGTGGCTTTCAGGGGGATTAGCAGGTTCCCGGTCCCCTCGCCTGGCCTGGCCCTTCCAAGTGACAGCGTGAGGGCCGTGCCCACCGTTGGCTCTTTGCCTCCCCGCTGGATGCAGCGGTGCCTGAGCCGCGGCACGTTCGCACCCAGCGAGGTTAACCCTTCTCTGGAGGGGAGAGCACTTCTTTCCTTCGGGCTTGTGCAATGCTTTCAGCATAAAGATGTATTCAGAACTAGAAAATAGCTATTTTCTGGGCGTTTTATTAATTTTGAAGCGTACCCGAAGCACCCTGCACATTGCTGTGAAATCTTTTGCCAAAGAATAGGCAAGAGAGGAATGAAGCTGGGTGTCCTTGTGCTGGTGATGCTGCTCTGCATAGAATCACAGAATGGTTTGGGTTGGAAGGGACCCCCAGAGGTCACCCAGCCCAACCCCCCTGCAGGAGCAGGGACACCTTGAACCACATCAGGTTGCTCCCAGCCCCATCCAACCTGGTCTTGATGCATCCTACAGTGGAGCAGTTTGTGTGTGCGGGTCCGACCCTGGGAGACTTTGGATACTAAAATGTTGTTTGCATGAGGTCAAGGACCAAGATTTTCTGCCTGCCCTCACCTGCTTTTCGTGGGGACTTGGTGGGTATGAGTCATGAAGGGTGGGAAGCCACCTTTATCGCCCCTTCTGTTGTGGTGACATGGGGCCATCCAGGTGTAGGGGTCTAGACGGGGGGTTCCAGAGAAGCCTAATCCCTAAATGAGTGGGAGGAGGGCGTGAGCCCATGGGGCAGGATTGCTGCTGGCGTGGTGGAGGATCCCTCCTGCTGATCGGCGGCAGGGGCTGCTCCGTAGCATCTCTGCCTCTGGTGTCTCAGCACTAAGTCGTCTTTGGCTGCTTCCAAAAATACAGGCCAGTGTCTGCAGAAGAGAATATGTGCAAGACTAATGCTTCTGTCTGCCTTTTTGCTACCGTCTGATGGTTACATCTGCTTGCCCGCCTGCGTGAGCCGGTCAGGGAGCTCGGTGCCGATCCAAAACACGCTGCCTGCCGGCTGCTTCGGCAGGCCCTAGGCATGTTGGAACAGGGGAGAGCGTGCTGAACAGCCACTGTGCCGCCCAGCTCATCTGTGTTCCAGACCCACGTCATCACTCAAACTCAAGTCTTTTACACAGAAAAATGCATCCACAAAATCGTGAAATAATTGTGGTTGGATGGGACCGCAGAGAGATCCAACCCCCTGCTCAAAGCAAGGCTTCTAGTTTTGGGTATTGCTTCATCATGCCAAGGGTTTGCACCAAATAATTTGTATTCCAGACCTGTTGAAGGTAATAAGGGGCTGCTTTGTGCTTATCTCATTTTATTCTGGCATTCAGACACACCCTGCTCTTTGCAGGGATGTGTCTCTACCTGTAGTGAATGTGCAGAAGAAAAAGCCTATTTCCCTTTTTTTTTTTTGGTTTTTGCCCTCCTCCACCTCCCTTCTCTGGGTCTTCTTTTGCCACATGACTGCAGATTGACGTCTGCTGGGAGACCTCGCGTCGTTCCCTCGCGCACAAGTTGCAGAGGCAGTGGGGCCCGGCGGTGCCTGCGGGGCACGGCATTGAGCTGGGGCGGGATGGGTTTTGCAGATTCTCATCCTGGCAGATTTTAAATGAAGTTTAATGAAGGGGAGAAGACGAGAACAGACGGGGTGAGGAAAGCAGGCACCCCCGTGCTTGCTTTTGAGCCAGAGAAATGAACTTCGTTTCCTTAAACCCCGTTCCTAGGATGTTTGTCCAGCTTGTGTCTTCTCCCCCATCTCTTCTATCGCCTCTGAATTTGGGGTAAAACCAAGCTGAGGGTCAGAGCCCTCTGTGTGTTGAGCATGAGCTCACTTCCCAGCATCACTTCTGGCCAAGCAGGGATGTGCCATTAGATGTTATGGCTAAGGGATACATCTGGGCTTCAGAATTGAAGCACGGTCCAGTTTTGTGAATACCAATTGCTCACTGAGAAGTTTTAACCACGCCAACATAACTGTGGGTAACTTCTACCATGTTTTCTCAGGGAAAATGTGCAGAGTGTTTCAGAGGCAAGACAAGACCTGCTCCGTGAGCCTGGTGTGGCGATGACCTATAGCTTGTGTTAACAAGGGATGAAAATGGGCTGGAATAGAGAGTTGCATAGTTTGGCTTTAACAGGTGCCTTCGTTCCTAAGGTAATTTATTCTTGCTGCCCACCCTGTTTCTTAATAACCTTCACTCTCTCTGTGTACATATGAATTCCCACTGCCTTCCAGACTGCCCCCAGATAAACTTGGAACAGTAATCACTGTCCCTATACAATATAAATTGTGCAAGACCACGCAAGGCGCCCATATGGGCGGCTGCGTGCCAGGAGCCCGACTGACCCAGCACCTCTCGCTGACAGGGAGCTGGGTGAAATGCAGGACCCCCGAGGGCTCCACAGCTATGAAAGGTTTTCATTTCATGACTGGAGAGCAGTAGCTTTCCCATTTCTGCTGACGAATAACTTTGGTTTATTTTGGGTTGTGCACCTATGTTGGGCAGCTCTATTTCGAGGGCTCCCTACTCATGTTAAAATGGCAGCTAGAGCTACTTAAAATACTTTGGTCTGAGTCCACCAGCTTAGCGTTGTTTGCAGTTTTCTGCCCCTGCATGAGCGGGGAAGCACGGGGGCCTGGCCAGCAACTGGTGCACAAGGTCGGAGCAGGAGGAGAGCAGCAAAACCCCCCCAGCAGGGCTGCGGAGGGTGCAGGGGTGAGGGCTGGGTCTGCCCCCGCACCCCGCAGGCGACCCCAGGCGCGTGACGTACTATGAGGGCATTTTTACAATACCTGGTGGTTTCTTCTACATGGAGATTTTTTTTTTCCCCTCTACCATTTATTTCTAAACCATGAAACTGTTTATTCCCAACATGCTAGCTTCTCCTCTAAAACGATCCTTCTGCATTACCTTTCAAAAGGCTCAAAGGAATTCCCTTTAACCTCTGAACCCCCCTAAGCTGTATTTTGGGGGACTCTCAAGAGTAGCTAGGAGGCACAGAGGGACAGGTAGGGGTTCCCATGCAGACATACAGCCCCTTTTGCCTTCCTATAGGCCTCTTCAACCCCCATCCCGTGCCTGCTTGGACGCTGGGGGCTTTGGTGCCTGGCTGGGGGGGAGCATGTGCTGGGGACCAGGCTTGGGGCTGCCCCAGCTCAGGCGGCCACCGCTTCATTTCCACTGGTCACGTCCCCCCGCAGCCCTGCTCTATTCCTGACAAGCCCAGCTTGGAGGCATCCACCGGGTCTGTCGCTCTGCTGGTGAAAAAAGAAGGGGAGAGCTGGGCGAAGGTGTGCGCTTGGTGACTCCCCCCTCAGCCCGGTGCTCGACTGTCATTTTTGGTAATTCCCTCTGTCCCCAGGAACTTTGAGACACATACTTGCAGTCAGTAAGAGCAAATCCTCCTGTTGTGCAATAGAGGGGTTTCACAATTTGATCCAAGGACGTGAAATGAATTTTGCTTCCAGTGTTAATTTTAGCCTTAATTAAAAAGCTGGGGGAAGGAAAAAGTAGGCAAGGATTTTTTGGACGGAGCACAGCCCCCGGCTGCATGGGGAGGGTCTGTCTCGCACAGTTTAAGCCTCATTTTTGCTTCGTGCCACATTCGAAGTGCGGTGGCAGCGTCACCGCCAGCCTCCCGTTGTAGCTGCTAGAAGGCACCGGTGTCTCTGGCTGTGTGAATGGTCTCATAAGTATGCATGAATCACTCCTAATGAGTAATTTAGCCGAGATTAACCTTTCCCCTCGCAGAAAGCCTTCCTTCTCCCTCTGCTACTCGCAGTCAGAGCTGTTGTGGAGTTTAATCATTATTGGGAATTGTTCACCAGATTATTTCTGGGGGTAATTCCTGTAGCTTCCTGACCGTTCGCTGCCCGCAGTCATTATCTGAAGTGAGTTCTTCTGCCTGGACCTGACTTGATTATTTCTGAGTCTTACTGGCAGAGCCAGGAGGAGTTGGTAGAGCCAGGGAAATTGCGTGATTATATATTTTGAAGTCTCTGTTTGCTTACTCTGCAATATTGTTATAAATATTGTAGTTGGCCAACTCCTGTTCTGGGATATTTATAGACAGAGAACATAAAGACTGTGGAAAATGTTATGGAAACAAATCAGTTGTAAGTGAGGATCTCGCCTCGATATCCGCCCAACTACTGACAGGTTCCCAGGTCCGGGGGCAGAGCAGAGTCGGGTCTGGGCTTTGCTAGGAGCTAAACCAACCCAGGACCTGAGCTCCCACCCGCCCGCCGCCGCCCCGGCCCCTCGCCGTGTGCCGCCCGCTCCTGGGCTGGGAGAGCGGCCTTGCTACTGGTGTGGTACCAGTTTGAGCTTTCTGTCCAGAGCCAGCCTGTGCCTGGCGTGGTCTTGTGTGAGGGCAAGCAAAAAGGTAACTCTGGGCAAAGCTTTCCATGAATTTTTCTTAAAAAAAAAAAAAAAAAAAGTAGTTCTTATGAAGCTGAGTAATTTTTTTGTAGAAATAATAGACTTGGCTGCCTTAGGTGAGCCTGTTTGGGGAGTGAGGAAATGCTTGTAACTGTGAATTAACCTTTAAAGGGGAAACCAGAAATCTCGGTGCCACCATGCCCCCCGGCCACCGCCTCCTGCGGCCTTTCCGAGGCACAGAGCTCTCCCCACCCCAGCTCCTGTGTGGGGTTGTGTTTGGGTTGGAATCTGCTCGTTTGTTTAAGTATGGGATGGGGGGATTTTAGCACGGGGGGGGATATAGAGTGGTTCTTGTCACTTGTCACCAGATGCCTCTGCTCCTCCACTGAAAGCCGATCTCATCACTGGGGTCCCAAACATGCCGGTGCCTCTGCCGTCGCCCCGTGCCAGCCCTCGCAGCGGGGTATCTCATTGCCTTCCCGGCGTCAGCTGTCAAACCTTGTGCCAGACGCACTCCCCTTCTCCCCCCCCCCAAACCCACTTTTCCTCCCAGGACGACCTTTCCGAGCCATCTTGCCCCGTGCCACCACGGCCAGCGCCTGCCATCGCTGGCAAACCCTGTCCTTAACCTTCCCCGATTTCTCAGGTTTTGGGCTGTGTCGGCGCGAAGCGTGTGCCCCGCTGCCCCGTTTGGGAGGCTGCTGCGCTGCTTGGGCCACCGCCAGTTGCCATTTCGGGTTGAAACCTTTCTCGTCGCGTCTGCACCTGGGGCAGCGGCGTCTGCGGCCCCTGCGTTTGCTCTGCTGTCCCCCCCTTCCCATTTTGCGGTGGCCCTCGCCCAGCCTGCTTGCCCACCCTGTGCCCCCATCTGGACCTCCCCCGTTCCTCCTCTCTTGCTCAATCTCCTTCCTGCCACTTTCTACACATTTCTGAGCCTATTCCTGTGCTGCAGGCACCCGCTGGCCCCGTGTTAGTGGCCGCGCGGAGCGTTGCTTGGGTAGCTAAAATTTGGGTATTTGTTTGCTCCTCGGGGACCCTGTTTGCTCGCATCCCTGTCTCCATTTGCTCCTTGAATTCCTTGCTCAAGGCAGGGGCTGAACTTTGAGCCGCTCGACTTCCCGCCCGCTGACTTCTCACCCGCCGAGCTGTTTGCTCCCGCTCCGCTCCCAGGGGAGGGCGCAGGGGGCGCCGAGCATCGCCCCGGGCTCTGGGATGCCAGAGAAAGGCCTTTCTGTTCACCCAAACAGCCCCTCGCCTGTGTGGAAAAGGCAAACTGGTCCTGAAAAGCTGCAGAGCGCCTTCTATCAAGCGTTGTCATTGTGGAAAATAGGGAGGTTGCTTAAAAAAAGGCATTTCTGACGGTTTGCCAAAAATGCGGTTTAGTCGAAAGCATTTTGGTTATAGTTTTAAGTCCATAAAACCCATGAGTTGTGTTGTTCAATGGGATGTGAAGGGCACCACTTGAGTCCTGAATATCGTTAGCCTTATCGATCGTGGTCCTGCAGGTCTCTAATAAACCAGCTTTACCGATGCTGGAGGGCTGGAGCCCCTCTGCTATGGGGCCAGGCTGGGAGAGTTGGGGGTCTTCAGCCTGGAGAAGAGAAGGCTGCGGGCAGAGCTGAGTGCGGCCGGTCAGGGCTTCAAGGGGGCCCAGAGGAAAGGGGGGGACAAGCTTTTTAGTAGGGCCAGCTGGGACAGGACAAGGGGGGATGGCTTTAAACTGAAGCAGGGGAGGTTTAGGCTGGATCTAAGGAAGAAATTCTTTCCAATGAGGGTGGTGAAACCCTGGCAGGGGTTGCCCCGAGAGGGGGTGGAGGCCCCATCCCTGGGAACATTCCAGGCCAGGTTGGAGGGGGCTGTGAGCAACCTGATGTGGTTCAAGGTGTCCCTGCTCCTGCAGGGGGTTGGGCTGGGTGACCTCTAGGGGTCCCTTCCAACCCGAAACATTCGATGATTCTGTGCCATTGTCCCTGGGTGAGCCCGGGCTGTGCTTGGGCCCCTTTGCCTCCAGGGTGGGCAGCGGGGTCTCTCCCCCCGCCCGAACTGGGACGGTCGCTCCCACCTGCCCTTTCTCTTCCAGTGGAGCATGAGGTACCGCGGCTCCGGGCCCCCAGCAATAACCCGCCTTGCGGGGAGGAGGAGGAGGTGTTGAATGCGGCAGACTGGAAGGAAAGAGGGAAATACCTGCCTTGGCTCAGGCAGCTAAACAGTTTGTTTTCCTGAAGTCCACAGCCTGCACCTCTGAAGCTGCCTCTCTGTGCCCGCAGGTGTCGAGCGCGTCACTTTGCAGCTGGACCTGGATCAGACTTTCCAGCTCGGCACCATCCTGCTTCACTTCAGGGTTCGTGCACAGCACCTCTGCCTGTGAGGAGCTCCCAGATGACTGTGGATGGGCCCCGCCGGCTCTTCGAGATGCAGGGATCCCAGTGCCCAGCTCCCCTCGGGCTCCTGATAGGAAGCATGCCAGGGTCCCCATCCCTCCTGTTCTCCTGTTTTTCATGGCTGTTCCCCTGGGGCATATGGGAGGACCAGAAGCAGGGTGGTGGGTTCCCATCCCATGAACATCTCCCAGAAAATCTCCTTGGTGCAGATGTGTGCTTTGTGGCTCCAGCAGGGCTGGCGGGGAGGGAGGGGGGGGACCCAGAAATTGTTGGTAACCTGCAGGGGAGGGGATTGCTCCAGCAGGCTGCGGAGACCTGAGCCTGGAGGGAGGAGGACAGGCATCCCCAGGAGACCTGAGCCTTGGAGGGAGGAGGAGGGAGGAGAGGGATCCCCAGGATGGGAGCCTCCTGGGGTGTGCCGCATTACAGATTTGCCTAAAACCCTGGTCTGCAGTCCCCGCTGCCCGCCGCAATGCTGATTGAGCGCTCCACCGACTCCGGCAAGAGCTGGGAGGTGTACCAGTACCTGGCCTCTGACTGCGCTGCCTCCTTCCCCCACATCCCCCAGGGCTCCCCCGAGAGCTGGCAGGACGCTCGGTGCCAGGCGCTGCAGGGATACCCTTTGCACGGGGGCAAGGTAGGATTTGTGGGGTTAAGGTAGGATTTGTGGGGTTTTGTGGCAGGGACTCCTGCGCGTGCCTGTTCCCCCTGCTGTGGCCCTGGGTTCGGGGCTGGGTGGCCTGCAGAGTGCTGCAGAAACACATGGTGGCCTGCAAGTCTTGGGTATATCCTACCTGGGGAGGTCTGGAGCCCGTGGGCATCCAGCGCTGCTGATGCTTGGGAGGACTCCTGCTCCCCTGGGAGGAAAGCCCTTGCTGCTTTGGGGCCGGTGGGGTGTTTTGTTGGTCTTCCTGCAAAATCCTCTGCAGCTCTGAAGTCTTTTCCCTGTGTTAAGCGACGTTCCGCAGAGGCAGGTCCAGAGCACACGCTGCCCGGAGCATGAGAAGCCAGCGCCTCGTGTTTCCTGCTTTTTAACTTTTTTTTTTTTTTTTTTTTTCCCCTCCTTCTAAGGTGAAGTTCAGCATCCAAGACCTGGCGTCTACCATCACCACCTCTTACAGCCAGACCATCGATAGTAAGTGGCCGGGCTCTTTCATATCTGGGAGAGGGGGACGATGCCCCTCGTGGTTCTTCGAGGTGCTGAGCTGGGGTAACCCTACAGGATCAGGTCCTCTGGGAGCAAGGCCTGGAGCCGGGTGTCAGGCTGCTGCCCGGTGCCTCCGGGGTGTCCCACAGCCCCTCACGCCCTCTCCTTGGTCCCCAACAGAGCTGGGGCAGTTCACCAACCTGCGGATCAACTTCACCGCGCTCCCCCACATCGCCCGCCAGGGCTACCGCTCGCCCAGCACCTTCTACGCCGTGATGGAGATGCAAGTGCTGGGGAGCTGCTTCTGCCACGGACACGCCGACCGCTGTGCCCCTTCGGGAAACCTGCACGCTGCGGTGAGCACCGGGGTGAAGCGAAAAGCCTAGAGATGAGCTCTGCGGTGTCAGACCATCCCTGAACCCCAGTGGGAACATCAGGCTCCACCACATACTCAGGGATGCTCCTCGGGAACCTTGGCTGGGATGACAAGCAGCAGGGAGTGTGGGATTGGTCTTGGACATGGTTTAGTGGTGGGGTGGCAGGGTTAGGTTAATGGTTGGACTTGATGATCTTAAAGGTCTTTTCCAACCTAGATGATTCTGTGATTCTTTCCCCTGGCCAGAGGCTGCTCATAATCAGGGGAAACAACGCCTCGTTTTGCCTGCAGCAACGGGGTGGTGGCTGCGAGACAGCAGCCTGTGGTTACCCCCATGTCAACCCCCTTTTTGTGTTGGGAGGAAGATGGAGGGGCTTGATAAGGAGATGGCAAGCTCAGGGCTGGGGGATGTTGTGCTCAGGGGGGCACTGCCCCTGCCAGCACCGGGTCTGTTCGCTGGGTGGGGGGCATGCAGAAGGCTTCAGCAGGCTCCCTCGTGCCCAGGAGGATTTCCCAGCGCGGGTTCTTTGCTGTCGTGGGATTCTCTTGTCCCCAGCTTATGCTCGTTTGCTTTGCCTTGAGCGTGGCTGTCTTTGGGCAGGTGGAAGAGGTGGTGGGAATTGCTGCGGGCGAGGAGCAGCCTGTCCCTGACGCTGCAGCAGTGCTGCCGGGTGCCGGAGCTTCGTCCTGCGTGGGGAACAGGGGCTGCGCGGGGGCAGGAGCCCGGCAGGGGCGTGCTGGAAAGGCAGCAGCGGGAGGGGGCTCTGGACCACCCAGGAGGGCTCATGTGTTGTCTCTGCAGCAGGTCCAGGGACACTGCGTGTGTCAGCACAACACCGCCGGCCCCAGCTGCGACCGCTGCGCTGCCCTCTACAACGACCGGCCCTGGGCGCCCGCGGAGGACGGCGATCCCCACGAGTGCCAGAGTACGGCGAGTGCTGCTCCCTCCCCTCTTCCCGAGGCATTTCCTAAATCCTCCCTAAGCATATACATACAAATATCTCAAGGGTGGGTGTCACGAGGACAGAGCCAGACTCTTTGCAGTGGTGCCCAGCACCAGGAGAAGGGGCCATGGGCACAACCTGAAGCAGAAGAGGTTCCAGTTGAATATGAAGAAAAACTTCTTTGCTTTGAGGGTGCCCGAGCCCTGGCCCAGGCTGCCCAGGGGGGCTGTGGAGTCTCCTTCTCTGGAGATATTCAACCCCCACCTGGACGCTGTCCTGTGCCCCCTGCTCTGGGTGAGCCTGCTTGAGCAGGAGGGTGGGACTGAGTGATCTCCTGAGGTCCCTTCCAACCCCTGCCAGGCTGGGATTCTGGGATTCTGTGATTTTGTGAGCAACGGCACCGGGGGCGAGCTCAGAGACCTTTCACTGGATGCTTGGTGGGGCTGGATGCTGTTGGGGTGTCGCTGCAAAAGGCCCCCCCGACACCTCTGCACCCCTGGGCTTTGCTCCACGGGGCTGCGGCTGGGCGATGCCCTGGGCTGGTGCTTGCTTGGTCCTGGGGCGGTTATCGATTTTTTTTTAGGGTGCAACTGCAATGGCCACGCGGCCTCATGCCACTTCGACCCCGAGCTGTACCGCGCCAGCGGAGGGGTGAGCGGGGGCGTCTGTGACGGCTGCCAGCACAACACCGAAGGCAACAACTGCGAGCGCTGCAGAACTAACTATTTTCGCAACCAGCGGCAAGATCTGGCCCATCCTGAAGCCTGTCTGCGTGCGTGCCCGCTTACCCCCCCATAGCACCAAAAAAAACCAGACCCCCCAGCCCGCCCCTCGTGCCCCTCACGGCGCTGTTTCTTGCACATTTCCAGCCTGCGAGTGCGACCCGGACGGCACCGTGCCGGGCTCCATCTGCGACCCGCTGACGGGGCGCTGCGTCTGCAAGGAGAACGTGCAGGGGGACCGCTGCCACCTCTGCAAGCCGGGGTTCGCCCAGCTGGCCCACGCCAACCCCATGGGGTGCCACAGTGAGTACATCCCGAGACACCCTCTGCTTCCTGGGGTGCTCCCACCTCTGTGCTCAGCATCCTCGGTGGCTCTGAAAGGGACCTGGTTCCCGGCCAGCTTTGATTTGGGGTTTCCAAGCCAAAGGCCCATTTTGCAAAGGCTTATAAAACCTCCTTCCTCGGGCTGTCTCGGGTATAAGTTTGGCAAAAATCATAAGGAAAGCTGAGTCTGGGGCATGTGTAGGGCTGTATCCCCTTCCCGGGTGCCTCCCTGGGCGCACAGGGCTCGGGAAGCCACGGAGGATGCCGGAGGCGATGCCGTGGGCAGCAGAGGACAGCCGTGGCTCAGCCAGCATCGCGTGTGCGGCTGGGCTGGTGGGATGCTGAGCCCCGCTGCAGCGCTTGAGGGGGCAGCGCGGTGTTAGAGCGGGGCTGGGGGGCCCTTGTGCCGAGCTCCGGTGTGGAGGGAGAGACAGGAGAGCTGGTCTTGGGGTGGCTGCAAGGTCCTTCTGCGGACCTGGCTCCATGGGAAGCCGGGCTGGTGCTCTGCACCCGCTTTTAATACAACAAAACCCTCCCCATTTCAGGATGCACCTGCAACGCGCTGGGAACGCAGCGGGACAGGCCCTGCGACGACGAGACGGGGAGGTGCTTCTGTCTGCCCAACGTGGTGGGGAGCGACTGCGGCCAGTGTGCGGCCGAGCACTGGGAGATGGGGAGCGGCCGGGGCTGCCGGCCCTGTGGTTGCCACCCGCACGGCTCCCGCAGCCCCCAGTGCAACCAGGTACGGCCCAGCCCACCCTGAGCATCCTCAGGGCAGATCCAGCACGTTTCAGCAATATTTCTTTTTCATTTCCTTGCTTTCTTTCCTGCACGCACCTGCAAGCTCACGCTCCTCTTTGCCTTCCCAACGCTGCCGTGAGGGGCTGCCCGGGGTAGGGGGGGCCGAGCCGCACAGAGTGCCCCCGCCAAGGGAGCCGTGGCCCCGCTGGGCAGCACCGCGCCGGGGATCGCTGGGAGCATCAAAAGCACACTTTGGGTGGCTCCGTTGTCCCATCCCATCTGTGGGAGCCTCCACAAAAAAAGGGCCGTGTGTTCCCTAGCGCGTCCTGCTCCTATTTTCCTTTTCCTATTTCCTAGACAACGCTATGACAGGAAAATGAAAGAAGGTGGTAATTACCGAGGCAAGATTAAGCCTTTTTAAAAGGCCTGGTATTTAGTAAGGAAGTCCTAATAAGAGATCTTCGTGCAGGAGAGGCAAGTTAATTATCCTCATTTGTCAACGAAAAGCATGAAGTGTCACTTCATGCTTAAGAGGCAACTGGGAAAATTGAAGTTAAATGTAAAAAAAAAAACCCCAAACCTCCGTGACAAATTCTAAGAGCCAAAGGTACGTCCCAAGCGAGCTCCGTGCAGGTGGCAAACGGGCTGCTGGTGGGCGATCCCTTTGTCTTTGAAACAAAGCTTAAACCTCCGCTTTGCAATGCTCAGGCTGTTTGGAGGCCGTTTGCATCGCCGTGGCCGAGCCTGCAGCCCGGCAGGAGCCTCACGGGCCCGTCCTGGGACGCGGGCTGGGTAGAGAAAAGCGTTCGTGTGCTGGCTTTAGTGCTCAGGAGCGGCTGAGGGAGGGCTTTCCCAGGAGAGCATCCAGAGCCGGCTCTCCCAGATGTTTTTCTCTCTCCCCAGCTCACAGGACAGTGTCCGTGCAGAGACGGCTTCACGGGGCGGACGTGCTCTGCCACGCAGGAGCAGGTTTGCCCAGACAGGCATTACGGAGACGTCTGGGGAGGCTGCACAGGTAGGGACCATCCATTTTGGTCTGGCTTGGTGTTGCTTAGCACCGTGAAATCACGGCTTATCTGGGAAGGAGCTCCTGGCCCGACATCAGCATTCCCCAGGCTATGTTGCAAGAGAAATTTCCTCTCTGGAACAGCTTCCTCGTTAGTCCCTGTTGCTGTCCCCCAACTCCAGGTATCCACCAGTCCCCTCCCAGCAGCCTTGGCGAGACCCTTGGCCGTGCTGGTCTGGCCCTGCAGGGTCAGGGGCTGGGTGAGCATCTGGGCTTGGGGGCTCTTCCCGTTCCTCTGCCCGTGCCACCTCCTTCCCAGATGCTGTGGGGGCTGATGGGTGGGGTTGGACTTCAGATTGTGTTGGCACCCTTTTAACAGGGTCTGATTTTT